CCTGAGATCAGGCGGGGCGCTACCACCGGGGCCAGAGGGTTTGCCACCTGCTTGAGTTAGCACGCTGCCACCAGGCCGTCAAAGGGGCACCACCAAGACATCGCGCGTCACAGCCCGCTGGAGTTCAAGCAGGCAAGCAACAGAGCAACATCAAGAAGCATCAGCAAGACCAGACTGCTCCCCCGGGGCGAGTGGCCAGCACGACACACAAGGTAAGACAAGTGACCGCCTGAGCGCGCCCCCATCAACATCCAATACCTCCGCCCTCCGCCCCCCCCCTGGCCCCCATCCGTGCTGAGGAGAGGAGGAGTTCGGTATGTCCTGTGGGCACAGAGAGAGGCACTGGCAGAACTGCTGAGAGGGTCCCACCCCAAAGAACCCGGGACAGAGCGAGGGCGCCGAGCCAGGCACGACCGCAGCGCGAGTGCCCCCCTGGGGGGAAGCGAAAGGCGGGCGAGCAGGCGAGGGGGGGGAGGAGCAGCAGCAGCAGGAGCAGCAGGAGCAGGAGCAGCGGCAGGCGGAGCAGCCGGAGAGCCGGAGAGCCGGAGAGCCAAAGCAGGAGCAGCAGGAGCAGGAGCAGCAGGAGCAGGAGCAGGAGCAGCAGCAGGCAGCAGCAGGAGGAGCAGCAGGCGCAGGAGGAGGGCGGAGGGGCGGCAGCTGCGGGAGCAGGGGCAGGGAACAAAGGAGCGGGCGGAGCAGTGAGCAGGAGGAGCGCGGGCCAAGCGCCACCGGCCTAACGTGCTTGCTTCTTCGCCGGAGTCGGCGATCGCTGCTTTCTCCTGTCGCAGGGAGCGCCGCAGGCCCGTGCTCCAGGTCCGCGCAGGGAGAAAAAGCGCGAGCCGAGGCGGCGACCTCGCGAAGCCTCGCGACTCCCACGGTGGCAGCAGGTGGCGTCCACGTGGGAGCAGCAGAGGGCCCTAGGCAGCGAGATGCCGGCGACTGGTCCGTCGGGGGAGGAGGAGAGGCGTCGGACACCTTCCGCAGGTGCGATCTCCTGGAATCGTCCCCATCAGCATTGAGCAGGGACCGACCGTCCCGGCATTCCTATAGTCCCACCACGAAATGTTCTTAGAACCCAAAAATGTTCTACGAACACAAACAATGTTCTTAGAACATTAACCCGATGTGTCAAAACAAGACAGTCCCAGCCAGAAATGTTCTAAGAACATCTCGTGGGAACCACAAAAGGTTCTTAGAACATTGTTCGGTGGGGCTATAGGCGAGCCAGGACCCTTCGCCGCTGCTTGACAGCGGCGCATCCGCACGGATATCTGCTCGAGGCGCCGGCCGGCGGCGGAGACGCCCACGGCTTCCGGAGGCGCGCCACGAGCAGGATGTCTGCAGGGTCGTACAGGCCAGCTTTTCATACATTGGATTTTTAAGCTATCGGATTTTTAGTACATGATGAATAAATGTATGCGTGAACTCATCGTTGTTTCCAATGCTAACTCCCTGCATTTTGAACACATGATCCGTACGCGGAGCCTGCATTGAACACGGCACTGTAGACGACACTGCGCCAGGAGGCCCGCTGCGGCGCCAGTGGTCCATCTGCGCGCGAGGCACGGGCGGCAGGAGGGCCGCGGCGGCGGGCAGCTGCCGGGAGCTCCCAGGGAGGCGAGGGCGCACACGCGCGGCAGCATCCGGCAGCTCGAGCATCTGCACCCGGAGGTGCGGGCTCAGCTCGAGGAGGGCAAGAACTACGACGACTACGGGCCTCGAATTCGGTGCGATCGCACCGAGCTGTCGAAAGTCGCCGCCAGATTTCCACGAGCTCGCCACAGCCTTCGAGAAGTGATGGCTGCAAGGCGAGAGCTCTTGAACGATCGGGCGGGTGCCCGAGTTGAGTGTTGGATATCGCCCACCCGCTCCGATGCCAACACGATCTGTGAGACCTGTTGGCAGCGCGAAATTCCAAAAGCAGATCCGCGAAGCCGTTCGGGCCGAGGACAAGAAGCATCGGGCGAAGCATGATATGCTCAAATTCAACTGGTCGAACAGCGGCGAGCTATCAACAATCGGCCAGACAGGAGATCGAAGCGTTCCAAGGCGACCTCCGTCATCAACTGCGAAAACAATGATACATCGGGGAGCGTACTGCATTCAACCACCAAGAAAACAACAGAGTCAAGACAGCAGCGCTGGAAGAAGTCTGACGCCAATTTGCGGTCAAGTACGCGGGTCAGCAATATGAGGCGGCAAACAGAAAGAAACAACAAACCAAGCAGCGCGCCAACGTCAGGAAGGAGAGCCAGAGGTTGGCAACGACAGAGGAGGTAGATCAGAACCAGATCCAGAATCGCGGCCCAAAGCGAGATCATCGTAGTCAATCGGCAAGCAATGGCTACAATCGCTCCCACAGACGAGGCGGGGGCCGCATGCCATCCGCAAAGAGATTGAGGCCATTGCCCAATAGAACGCCACACGAAAGACTCGGTGGAGAACGACGACGACCTGGACCGCTAGTGGTACCGTCGCGCCCATGTGGAAACGGCTCCGCACCGTCCTACCTCGCAGGCATGCCAAGCACTCGATCGGGCGAGCCCGGCAATGCCATCGACGACGAGACCCCGCAACGCGCCCGCGGGAGGGACGGTCCCGCCCGACCTCCGCGCCGCTGCTGGCGACCGAGAGACGGAACAGTGCCAGCAACAGGGCAGACTACACTTCTGCGAGACTGCACCGGCCCCCTGCACCAGCCAGCCACGAGAAGCCACCTGGCAGAGACATCGAGCCGAGGAGAGAAGATGCAGCGGGCACCGGGGAAGGGCCCGACAGGCAGATCGAGGTCTCCTCAACGACAACGGCGATGGGGGAGGAGGGAAGCGAGCGGCGTGCGGAAGGTTCGCGTCCGCGTAGCGCTGCCCAGGAACCGCCTCTTCCCATGCGTGCCTCTCACAGGGCCGACAACTGAAGTAGGCAGGCAGATGATAGTACAAGGCTGATGGCGGCACCATGATCCCCAACGCGGGTCCCCCCCAACAAAAAACACCCCAGAATAACCGAAGTCACAACGATTGCCCCCAAGGGCAGACTAAAAAAGACATCGCCGAGGCCCTCGCACGTGACGCAATCGCCAGGAAAGCACACAGTGCATAAATGGGTCGGCGAATGTGGCGCAAGCCTGTAGATGAGTACAAAACTGATAACAACACCACGATGCCTAAGTAGACAGCAGACGACATACCCTGCTCGAGCTCCACCACTGGCTCGTCCCACCAGCAAAGGCAGGGCCACAGTTCGGAGGAGGACGCGGGACAGAATGACTATCTGAACTCGACGCTGGTGGGCCCCGCCACTTGCATCGTCGAAGCCTTCATGAGAAGGAGGCCATGGCCTCCGTTCCAGAGGTCGGACGAAAGCGAGAAAAGCTAACGTTTGCGAACAGCCAGCGAAGTGGCACAGCCACTGGATCACAGGAACAAGCACTGCAATCGACCGCGGGGACCGAGCTTACGCGTGCAATGTGCGAAGGGCCATCTACACACCGATCAGTGGCCGATGCACGACGGCTACCACCGTTCCGACCTGAGCTGCAAAGGCGTGTCAATCCAATCGTGCGGGGTCATGCTAGGACGTCACTGACTCAAGCACCGACGACAGCATAATCACAACTAGAAGCCGCACATTCAAACGAAAAATACCACTTACAAGACGGCGACCCTCCGAATGACCGAACAGTCCACCGAATTGTGACCTGCGACTCTACAGAAGACCAACTACCAACCCACCGACCTCATCTCTGGGTAGACATGAGCCACGCATCGCGGCAGTAGGAGAGGCGCAAAGTTGAAGAACTCTGCCGCATCATGAAGTTTCGCATCGGCGACGCACCCCAGGCCGCGAGTCCCAGTGTTTTCTCGCGCAGTCTAACAAGCCCTCTCATGAACACCGGTTTTGACTTCACCTGTGCCCCTTATGTGTACACCGAGCACCAAACCGCGAAGGGAAAAATAAGCTACCGCGCCATTCCCTACGCAAGAGAGCCTCTGAAGGCCAGTGCGGTGCTACGCCGACGCCCTGCAGGGAAACAGCGGTTCGCCGACGGGCGCAGTGACACCGAGACGCCGCTGAGGCAACGTGGTGTCTGCTTGTCAGGCCCGCTCCCCTCGGCGGGCTGCACAAACCAAAGACGCAAACTCCTCGCCGGGCCACGCGCGCACCTCCTCCACGCGGCGACGGAGCAGCAACTGGCAATCGGCATGTGGTTTGTCTTCCGCTGCATGGGCTGCGTGCGACCCCCCCCCACACACACACACACACACACACACACACACACACACACACACACACTCGCACACACACACACACACACACACACACACACACACACGCGCGCGCGCACATGATTACCCATACAGACGGACACTTTATGATCATGATGATGAGGAGGAAGAGGACGGTGATGATACTGTTGAGTTTGAGAAAATGATGTTGCTGATGCTGATCACCGTCATCATCAAAATGATGATGATGGTGATGATGAGGATGCTTCTGATGATGATGGTGATGATGGTGATGATAATGATGAAGGTGGTGGTGATCATGATGGAATTGATTGGGAAGATAATGGTGATGCTGGTAATGGTAAGTGTTGCCGACAACGAGAACTAATCCTGATTATAGTCATTACCATGATGGTGATGATGGTGGAGATGATGGTGGCGATAGGATTGATGATGGTGATGATGATGATGAGGAGGAGGAGGAGGAGGAGGAGGAGGAGGAAAGGTGGGGGGGAGGAGAGGGGGAGGTGAGGGAAGGGGAGCAGGGGGGGAAGGACAAGGAGAGAAGGGGAGAAGGGGGGAAGAGGATTGGTTCAACATCGATGAACCTGCCAAGGTGTACCACAGGGAGGACGGCGCCTCCTCCCTGCGGGATCGGCCTGTGGCCTGGGTCCGCTCCACCGCGGCGCGGGAGGCTTACAAACCCAGGACCCCCCGACCACGGGGGGCCAGGACTGGACCTGACCAGACTCGGACCCCCGACCGCGTGGAGGATCACGTCGAGCGCGGCCACGAGGGGGAAGAGCCCCCATGGCCAGGCAGGTGCGCGAGCGCCCGCCGCGCACGCTCCCGCACGTCCAGTTCCATCGTGGGCGCCGCGATCGCAGCGCCAGGCCGACATCCAGGAAGACGACAACCATGTGCCTGGTGCGCCAGCCGGCCCTGCAGCACCGAGAGGTCGCCCACATCGCGGACATCGACACACTCCGAGTCCGCATCCACCTCCATCCACATCGCGGGCTCCTTGCCAACTCCGCGAGCAGGCCCTCCGTCAAGAGGAGGCGCACCAGGAGGCAATCCAGCAGCAGCAGCAGCAGCAGCAGCGCCACTGCCAGGGCCCGCCGCAGCGGTCCTCACCAGCCCGTCCGTCCGACCACTCGTCGTCGATGTCGGCCGCAGCAGCTCCGCCAGCACCAGCCAGCTCCGCCGCCTCCGCGAGCACGCCGTGCTCCCGAAGACGCCTCTCGGCTGCAAGCCAGGCGTGGCCGACGACGCGGGGGCAGCAGGCCGCTGCGCAGCGCTACCACCGCCATCATGCCCTCCTGTCGGCCCCCCAGACATGCGACGTTTTGATGTTCTTCAGGACGTCGTCCCCTGAAGTCCAGACTCTTTCCCGGGGCCGGCTTTTCATCCTGAGTCGAGGGCCCCCCGAGGCCGAAATGGGCCACAAACCTGCCGTCCTGATTCATTTACGACGCGATCATGTCTGGGCCAACGGCCACGGACGCACCGAGGGCCGCGGCCACAGCACGCAGCAGCCTCTCGGCCGCCCGCGCGAGGCGGAGGGCCTCGCGGGACTCGCCCGCACAGAGGCCCGCCGCAGCGTGCGACGCGACGAGGGCGCCACGCGCCGCCTCGAGGGCGACGCGGCGTGTCGCTGGCAGCGGCATGGCGCGCTGCGGGCGGCGGGCACCCGGCGAAGTGAGCCGAAGCCGAAGCAGCGAGTGGGAGGAGGAGGAGGAGGAGGAGGAGGGAGGAGGAGGAGGAGGAGGAGGAGGAGGAGGAGGAGGAGAGAGGAGGAGGAGAGGAGGAGAGAGGAGGAGGAGGAGGAGGAGGAGGAGGAGAGGAGGAGGAGGAGGAGGAGGAGGAGGAGGAGGAGGAGGAGGAGGAGGAGGAGGAGGAGGAGGAGGAGGAGGAGGAGGAGGAGGAGGAGGAGGAGGAGGAGGAGGAGGGGCGAGGGGAAAAGGGGGATGGGGGGAGGCGACAGGGAGGACGAACCGGGAGCAGGAGGTGCACCACCCCCGCACCATCCCCGCTCGCGGCCCTCGCCCCTCCCTGCTCGACAAAGTGGGCCAGCTGGGCCCCCGCGAAGTAGGGCGCCTGCAGGCAGTCGTACCCTCTAAACCTGGGCGCGGCGGTCCCTGGGGGGGAGCACGAGGCCACCGGGCCATGTGAAGGAGAGCGTGGGGAAGGCCCTCCCTGCGCTTTCTCTCCTCCTGCTCCTCCTTCTTCTTTTCCTCCATTCCATTTCCTTATAAATAACTTCTCCCTGTCGCACCCCGAGGCCAGTTGTTAGGCCGGTCCGGGCGCTTCGCCTGAGACTTCCTCACCATTTATGACCCTGGAGATAAAACAGTTGGCAGTTTCATAGATGAAGGGCGGGCCGTTTTCAAAATGTGGGTCTCGATCGTTGATGACTCTTGGGTTTACATTGGTCCTCCTCCTCCTCTTCCTCCTCAACCAAAGCGGTCCGACGTACGTTGCATTAGTTTTTGCCTGGCCTGAGGCTCGCGGGCTCTGGAGGGTCGATTGAGATCCTGGAGGCTTGAGTGCTGAGGGCTCCTGTGGGTTCGTGATGCCCTAAGGCTCCTGTAAGTCCGACGCCGTCTGCAGACAAAAGGCTGGGCACCACACGCAGTACGTTGCCATATCCACACAGCTGGCTCCAACATACCAGTCCCTTCACGTTCGCTCGATTACCCCACCCGCGCACAGGGGAGAGATGGCAGGTGGCGCAATTACTTCCGAAGAGAAGACGAACCGACGGCGGGGGGAAGAGAAAGGTATCGCCCCTCAGCGGCCACTGACAAATTGAACAAGACGGGCCAAGTGCTCGAATCGCTGATGGTGCAGAGATGGACGAGGTGCTCCGAGAGCTACAAGACCAGAAGCAGGTGCTTGTCCACAGCATTGCGCGCTTGGAGCACTAGAAATACCAAAGTCCAGAAGCCGAGCACGAGAGAACGCTGACCGTTCAGACCCTGAGCTCGTATATCAAACACATGAACGTGGCCATGGAGCACACTTAAGAACCTGAGGGGCGCACTCATGGACAAGAGCATCCTTCAGCAAGGACCATACGCTGGCGAGCTCGACCTGTACAAGCCGCAACGCGACGAAACCGACCAGTACGCGAAGCTGCAGCACTATGACGACGCATGGCACTACGCGCCTGACACGACTGGGGTGGACAGCCAGAACAGGGCCATCGTCAGAGATCCTAAGAAAGCGCCTCCAGCCTCAGCACCATCGACGGCATCGATCCCAACTACGGTCAGGGGTGTGACATACTTTCAGAGTCCGATGACAGGCCCAAATGGTAGCCGCAAGCCAGGTGGACGGTATCGCCAGCGCCAGCGCCAGCGCCAGCGCCACTGCAAACCACTGCAGGGGAACCGAATCGGAAGTGAGACGAGACCCGAGAGTAAATGAGCCAGCTAGCCATGCCCTAGTTTGTCAGGCCTGCGAGGCCTGCGAGGCCTGCACACTCGCTTGCCCTCCCAGCCCGCCTCGCTTCTCCGTCTACTGGGAGGGAGCGGGGACGGGACGCCGACATCGAGTACGAGACTCCCGCCCTGTGCTCCCCGCCTCCGCCGCTGCCGTGAGTCGCACACCCTGTGGTGGGCGGCACCCAATAAGCCTGCTCGCCCCTCCCCGTCCTCAGTGCCTGCTGAGTTCAGCAGGGCGGCCCCCTCGACGACGCGTCGGCCCATACTTGCGCAGGCGCCACGCGCAGGCAGCCCGCGCGAAGTGGAGCGGCGTGGCCGCTGCATCCATGCTGCATCGCGGAGGTCTAAGCCTGTCGGTAATGACAGCAGTGGGAACCTCCATGCGCATTGTCCTTGTCCTTGTCGCCTCCCTCCTGCTCCTCGTCCTCCTTCTCCTTCTCTTCCTCGCCATCCTCCCTCTCCGCCGCCTCACATACTCATCCTCCCAATGCTAATTACCCTCAGCATGCCGCTCATCAGCCCTCTTCCTCATCCCCCTCTCCTGGCTCATGCTACTCGTCGCTGGTCGCAGCCCCTCTCTTCTCGCCCTCATCTCTCCGCACCACCACTCTCATCTTCTCCTGATCTGCACGGGTCGGCGAGATACTCTCTACGACCACCCCTGCGCCACCTCCGGCCAATCCCATCCGCTCCAAACGCCGCTCAGCCTCGCCGCCCTCCTCCTATCACACTCATGCTCCTCCTCCTCCTCCTCCTCCTCCTCCTCCTCCTCCTCCTCCTCCTCCTCCTCCTCCTCCTCCTCCTCCGCCTCCCCACACCACTCACGTGGGGGGCGGACGTAGAGGGAGGCACGGGCAGGCACATGCCAGCAGACGCATCACTGGCCCGCGGTGCTGCCCAATGCCTTCCCGCGCGCAGGGTCCACCCGAAAAGGCTCCGAACTCGGCGCGCTCGGGGCGCTCAAGGCGCCCCGGGCGCCCGGGCCGAGGCGCGCGCCCTGCGGCCCGCCCCGAGAAGCCTCGTCCTGCGAGCCCTGGCCCGACCTCGTCGGACCCCGCGCGATCGAATCGCGCTGCTGATCTCCCCATCACTCGCCATCGCTTGGACGTCCATTCCCTTTGCATTTTTCGGTTTCGTGCGTGTATTTTTTTCGCGACGTGAACAAACATGCTCCTCCATTGCCCTCGCCGATAAAAAATGCACCCGCCCGAGCGATGCCAAGATCACGTCACTCGCGCTTCGGCAGCTCCGTGTCGGGACCACCCCGCTGGCCGTCCCCGACGCCGCACGGATCGTTCGACCCTGCACGATGGGCGGGATTTGGCTCGCTGGATCGTTCGGTGTTGAGCCATTCTGAGCCACTGACGGCGTTCCATCTTGAACGCCCGCGGCGGGGTCGCCCCCGCGTCGACGCGACGCGACCCTGCCGCACGCTGGACGAGCACTGCACCTCTCCTCGCCACTCCGTACCGTGTCGTGCGCGGACGATGCTGCAGACTCGTGCCTCGCACACCCTGCGCACACTGCACGTCCAGACCGTCGGCGCCAGGCACGCGGGCAGCGGGCGGGGGCAGAGGGAGGCGCCTAAGGTGATGAAAAATGAAATACACGAAGTCGCCTGGCGCGGGTAGCTGCAAGGATGCGGAAGACAGACGGGCGAGACGCAGAGCAACTGGCTCACCTGGTCAGGCCACCCTCATGAAGTTGGGATGGCGCACATCGTTTCTCGATCCCTAAACAGCTTGCCCGTACGGGTCTCATAGGATTTTTCTGAAGCCTGGCAAGTGCATCGCCAAATCCAGAGTCGGGGGGGGGGGAGCCGGTTGCCTCCCGGTTACCTCCCCCGTGGACTCCCGTGGCCTCTAGAGGCCTCGTGCTACCTCTCGCGTGGCCCTTCGTGGTCTCCCGTGAACTCACGTGGCGTGCCGTTGCCTCCCGATGCCTGGCCTGCCTTTGCCTCGTGGCCTCCCATTGCTGTCCCTATCCCTATCCCTATCCCCCTCTCCCTATTCCCAACCCTATCCCTGATATTCCTACCCATCTTCTCATTGCCTGTGCGTATCCCCATCCCCATCCCCATCCCGACCCCGATCCTTGTCGGGATGCCCCTAGCCCTATATCCCCACCATATCACTGTTCCGTCTCAGTAAACACCCCCTTCCCCACCAAACTGGCGACAACCCAGGGACAATGACACCCCCACACCATCCCTGTCAGAAAACAATTCAAAGAGCAGCACATTGCGGAAAAAGATTGGGTCATGCTCGGGGGGGGGGGGGCAAGCACTTGTCGGGGACGGCGGGGGTGCCAGCCATTGGCCTCGGCCACCATCCGTGTGAAAACTAACACAACATGCACTTCGCGGCATAATCTAGATCATGCGCGGGCACCTCGCGATCACTTTGCACCGTTTTCTGACAGGGACGGCGGGGGTGCTGGCATGTTGCCCGCTGTGTGCAGGCCCATCAGACATCATGATCGTCACTCCGCCGCCACTTGGCACTGGTGTTCGACGAGGATGGTGGGGGCAGGCATGTTTCCCGCACGGGCGCACCTGGCACGCTCTGCGCGTGCCCCGAACGTGGCGCACCTGGCGCGGCTGGAGCATGCGGCACACCTGGCGCATGTGGAGCACGTGGCACATCTGGCGCATCAGGCGTGCCTGCCACGTTCAGGCCCCAGGAGCGCGCCTGGTGCGCGTGGCGCGCCTAGCACGCGTGGCGCACCTCACCCCAGCGTCGCGCACATGGGGTCTGTATTGGTTCCCAGCAGCTGCCCATCCAAAGAAGAAGATCGTTGAATATGTTGAGACTCGGGTACTACGTATGCGATGGGAATGCGGGTGGGACTGAGCCAAACAGATCGCGTCTGGGAGAGGTCTCTTGACAACTGATCCCTATTAAAAGCCACCTCCTCCACCACCCGACCGGAACCCAGCCCGAATCCATGACGACGCCCCCGCCCAGCATCCCGGCCAACAACTATCTTGGTGAAGGACCCAACAACATGCAGTTGATAATACCTGAGTTGTATCACCTTCGGCGCCATGCGAACCCTATCATTTTGGGTCTTAGCTAAGGCTCCCTTTGAAGCCGCGAAACGTGTAAGGGGGTTGCCGAAAGAAAGCACCGACGCCATGCGAACCCTGGCCTTTGGGCCTTAGCTGGGACTCTCGATGGGGCCACGAACGAGTGAGGGGTGTGCCGAAAGGAAGCACTGGCGCCAAAATGAGGCACCGACGCCATGCGAACCCTGACATTTGGGCATTAGTAGCTGCCTATGTGGCTACGAAGAGTGTGCGCGGCGTGCCGAAATGCGGCAGCGACGCCATGCGAACCCTTGCCTTTGGGCCTTAGCTGGGGCCCCCTCTGAGCCACGAGACGTGTGGGGTGTGTGCCGAAATGAAGCATCGACGCGATGCGAACCCTGGCATCTGGGCCTTAGCTGGAGCTCCATATACTATTGGGCCACGAACGGTGTGAAGGGCATCCCGAAGTGGATGCGGGGCCGCCATCCGGGCTGTGCCACTGAAGCCGTTGGTGGGGCTCACTATGGGGCCACGAAGCGTGTGAGAGGTGTACCAGAATGAGGCACCGACGCCATGCGAATCCTGGCACTTGGGACTTAGCCAGGGCTCCCCTGTGGAAACACGAAAGGTGTGAAGGGCGTGCCGAAATAAAGCACCGACGCCACGCGGACCCTGGCATTTGGGCCATAGCTGGATCTCCCGATGGGGACACGACAGAGTGAGGGGTGTGCTGAAATGAAGCACCGATGCCATGCGGACCCTGGCATTGGAGCCGTACTTAGAATAGTTGCTGAATCTCCCTGTGGGGCCACGAACCGTGTGAGGGGTGTGCCGACTTCAAGCTCCGACGCCATGTGAACCCTGGCTTGTGAGCCTTAGCTGGAGCTTCCTGTGGGGCCACGAGACGTGTGCGGTGTGTGTGTGTGTGCCGAAATGAAGCACCAATGCCACGTGGACCCTGGCTTTTGAGCCTGAACTGGGGCTCCCTTTGGGGCCGCGAACCGTGTGAGGGGGTGTGCCGACATGAGGCACCGACGCCATGTGGACCCTTGCATTTGGGCCTTAGCTGGAGCTCCCTGTGGGTCCACGAACTGTATGAGGGGAGTACCAAAGCGGACATGCGAAGGGCAGGGACAGGGATGGGAGGAAGAGGAGGAGTAGGAGGAGGAGGAGGAGGAGGAGGAGGAGGAGGAGGAAGGGGGGAGGAGACGCGGGGCGCTGTCTCTTCAAAACGAGGACCCAACACCACAGAATGGCTGGGAAGAACCAAATCCGCTGACTCTTCGGCATTTGGGAGACGCCGTCGTCGTCGTGGTCGTCGTCGTCGTCGTCTTCGTCGGCGTCGCCGTCAGTCCCAAGGAAATCCACAAACAAGGAGACGGGACGTCGCAGATAAGTCCAAGGGAAGCCCCGCTCCCTTTATCCCTGACCTGCCCGAGGGAGAGGGGAGGGGGGAGAACAAGCTAGGTGCGCTCGCGTCATGTCTGACGTCCTACCCCTCCCTCCCATCCCTGAAGATCTCCTCTCTATTCGCACAGTCGGTTACATGGCACAGCATGGTGTAGAAGATCAGCGCGTAGCATGACATAGCATGGCGTGGCGACGCCCCAACGTGGGCTTCTGCGGCCCAAAAATTCAACGAATCGACACCGAATGTGAACATGATTTTCGATGTTTTTTTGTCGGGGGGCATTGTTTTAGATGTTGGGGCCGATTTGGAAGGACAGAAAACCATGCCGTGGCATGGTACTGGAAACAATGACGCCAACGCTGCAGCGGGAGCACGATTCGGAACGAGCGGAAGCGCGGAAATGAGGCCAGCGCTGCAGCAAAAGCACGATTCGGAACGAGCGAAAGCGTGGACATGAAGCCAGCGCTGCAGCGGGAACACGATTCGGAACGAGCGGAAGCGCGGAAATGAAGCCAGCGCCTCAGCGGGAGCAGCCTTCTTTTTGCTGTTGCTTTTTAAACTAAAAAACGGTTCCCCGGTATTCATTGTTTCACAAGTAACCGGAGGGGTGGCGAATATCTTCCAGACGTCATCAGGGGAGGTAGGATAATAGTTTTCATACTGAATAATTGTGAAGGGGGGAGGGAGGGGAGGCGGGGGTGGGGTCCCGGGTCAGAATGCTGCACCCCAGGTCCTGGCGCGTGTCCCGGGGGAGAGTCGGCCTCGGGGGTCCCAGGGGAGGTCCCGCCTTCAGGGTCGGCGGCGCCAGCCGCGAGGCCTTCAAACTGCACTTTGCCTCCAAATCTGGAGCATGCGCGGGTGCACAGCGACCATTTAGCACTGGTTTTTCACAGGGTCGACGGGGGTGTCCTCATATTGGCTGCTGCGCTCAAGCCGACAATCCGAATCAGAAGCATGCGCGGGCGCCCCGCGACCACTTTGCATTGACTTTTGACAAGGACGGCGGAGTGGCCTCATGTTGCTTGATGCGCACAGGTCAACCATTGCTGACAAATTACGATACACAATGCACGCTGCCTCCAAATCTGGAGCATGCGCGGGCGCCATGCGACCACTTTGCTTTGGTTTTTGACAAGGACACTCTTGTACTACTTATGTGTTGGGATGGCGGGTGGGAGTGAGCGAGATGGCTTGCGCATTGTGGGCACGAGGTGTCCCTGTGCCTACCCTTACCCCTATCCCCATCCCTATGCCGACCCCCCATATCGTGGTCCCCCATCGTGCCACCCCATCGTAGCCGCCCATCGTGACCCCCATCGTGGCCCCAATCGCAGTAGGGTAGCATCGCACCTCGATACAGCTGCTTCGGGTCTTCTGCCGCAAGGGTGCCATACGTTGTCGAGGCGCTCGTCGTGCGGACCGTCTTTGGAACGGCAGCTCCCTGCTGCTTGGACGCCCTGGCAGCGACCTCACCGTGCCTCTGTAGTGTAGGCTGTAGGGGGGGGGGGGGCTCGCCGAGGCCACTCGGGCAACTGCGACTCCCCGAGGGCTGATGACACACCCGCATGAGCTGATCGAGGACCTCGCTCCACTACACGGCTAGAGGGCCACCCCGTGCAGGCGGGCGAGGGAGCAATCCAGCCATCGTGCCCGCTGGCGGAGCGGCGGCCCGTCCGTCCTCCGCTCGCTCACGCGAGGCGGGCGGCACGCCATGGCGGCGCGCCATGAGGACCCTTCCAAAACTCCCAGCATCGACGAACAACCTCTGGCAGACGTGCGTCCTGACTATTGCTGCGACTGAAGGAATACTTCGAGTCAACACAAGATCATGCGCGCAGGAGGCTGCCGTACGTATACCACCACCGTCTGGCCAGGGCCATCATGTGCCCTGGAGTGGTGTACGACAGGCTCCTGTCGTGACGATATCGGCGCTGGTCTCTGACATCACGTGTGCCACTGAACCTTCAAAGTGGTCGCGGGCTTCCGATAGCGAAGATCGTTCGATATCGGCCGACCCGGGGCCACTGGCGGCGTTTAACCTTGAACGCCCAGGGCCCACGAATTTGCGGGTAGTAAGGGGCAATGGCCGGTCCTCGTGGTGGTGTGGTACCTCTTCTTTTGGCCCCGCTAAAGACATCCCCAATCCCGAGCTCGGCAGAGCACTGTGGACTTCCTCTCTTAGGGAGTGGCCCTGTGTTGCGTTGATGCCGCTTCAGAGAGGAAGAGAACAAGAATCCCTCAGACGAGGCACACGATTGGAGGGTGAGGGTCAGCACTGGTGCTTGACCAGATCAACCTGAGCAAAAACGGCCACACATACAGATCCCAGGGGGGCAGGAAAAGGAGAGGCGTGATACACATGGTGGCAAGGACGAGCAAGAGGTGTAGCGAGGTTAGCCAGATCGATCGAGCCAGGAGGGCCCGCGCGCTCCAACCCTTCCTCGCATAACATACAGTGGAGGGCAGTCCACCAAGAAACCCAACCCTCAGACCCAGAACGGTCCCGAGGCCCGGAGAGAAGGCCCCCGAGCGGCCGAAACTGGCGACTTTTGTTCGTGACTCGAGAGGGTGTGGGTCCCCCCTACAATGGAGGCCAGGCCACAAGAAAACTTCCTCAAGAAACCCAACCCTGAGGTCCCAGGGAGTTCATTGATTCTTGGTGTGGGGGCGTCACACTTCCATCGCAAAACCATCGAAATCCAAGAAACCCAGGGCACCCTGGAGGCAAGCAGGATGTGTCTTGGCATGGGCCTCCAATGTAAGAATCGATGCTGACGCAGGTGCGTATCGAAACGGGCGCGCGTCTGCACCTCGCGCAGGGCAAGCGCGCCCGCAAGCGGCCCTGCCTCCGAGAACACTTGGCGAGGGGGGAAACCACATGCCGCGCCCGGACAGAAGAAGAACTTCCAGAAAACCCTTGAGCGGCGATTCGGCGAGAGCACGACTTGAGGCGTTCCAAAAATGGCCTTGCCTTCGAGGATCGAAGGAGTGGTCATCTCTTCCTCGGCGGAAGGCGGCGAACGGGCGGCTGAAGGGCGGCGGAAGCAAAAGATGCGCCCCCAAGAAATGAAAACGTGTTTGGGGTTCAGTGCTTCCGAAACCCGCCACTTGGGCCCATTTGTCGCGCGGCCCAACGCTCGATGGCGAATAGATAGCACGCTCAACTCCAAAGAACCACTGCCACTGTCACACGAAACGTGCGCGGCGCTCGACGCCATCACAAAATCCGTCGCCCCCTTGCACGCGGCCTCGCTGCTGCATCCCGGCGACCCGGCAACCGAGCGAAAATGCGCCACTCCTCCTCCTCCTCCTCCTCTTCCTCCTCCTCTTCCCTCCTCCTCCTCCTCCTCCTCCATCATCTCCTCCATCTCCTCCTCCTCCTCCTCCTCCTCCTCCTCCTCCTCCTCCTCCTCCTCCACCTCCGCCTCCTCCCAAACGGGCGCGCAGCATCCACATGAGAATGGAATCTGCACGGAGCTGGGTCGAGAAACAAATTTCGCCCGCTCGGTTGAAGCCCCGCTGCTCTTTCCCGGCGACTCGGCGACCTGAGAATATACACCTCGCCCAAGCGTGAACTCCACTTTTACGCGGAATCTGGATGGAGCTTGGATGAGAAGAACAATGCGCCCGATCACGCGCAGATTCGCCCTCAACGATTGGGCGAGTGAAAACGGTGCGCCGCTCCAGCGGGAGCGCCAATTTCAAGTGAAATGGGCAAGTGAAATGGGCGCGGCGCCGAAGCGAGAGCGATGTTTCGCCCCCTTGTGCGCGACCCAAGTGTCGACAAACTGGCGAGCGAAAAATGTGTCCCACGCCCGGGCGGGAGCTCAATTCTCATGAGACTCGACAGCGGAGCAGAGGCGAGACCGAGATTTCGCCGCTTCGCGCGCGATGTGCGCGCGTCCCACTCCTACCACGCAAAATTCTTAGTCGACGGCGAAATGCCCGTGTTCAAAAGGAAAGCGAACCATGTGGCTGTTTCATCTTGATGGGAAGGATCCAATCACTCGGATGCGGCCCCGATCGACCAGCTAGATGACGCAGTGAGAGTAGAGATGTGACAGGGAATGAAAATACGAAGAGCAGGGAAAGTAATAGCAGACGCAGCGGCGGCAGCAGCAGCTGAAGGCACCTCTGAGAAACAGGTATGATGTATGATCTCGAAAAAAGTCCGTGTGGATGAGGTAGACGGACTGATTGTCGGTCGGGCGGGCGAACGAAAATGACGACGATCGACCGAGGGCGACGATGCAAGTGGGCTGCCCCGCCGTTGATGCGGCTCGTGGACACGGCGAAGCACTTCTGAGCCTCGCTCTTCTGGCCCTTGCCAAGGTACGTCCACGCAAGCTCCTGCATCCGAGAGATTCCTAACACTCCTCCTCCTCCTCCTTGCCAGCCTTTGTTTTACACACTGGGGACTCACACCATTGGTCATCACGCACATCTGTCCGATATTCGATTAGAGGTTCTCCACGGCCGGCCAAGAGGAGCAGAGCAGCAAGTTCAGAGGGAGGCAAGCAAACACAATACGGCCAGAGGACACAACCTCTGGACACGTGACCCGCTCCAGAAACACAGCCTTCCCTCAATAATCCTGACGAAGGCCCCAGACAGATGTAGATGTGAACACCGTCGCTGTAAATGAATAGTTATCGCCTTCGGCGCCATGCGAATCGTGGCATGTGGGCCTTGTCTGGGGCCCAAAATGCTGCCACGAAGCACGTGATGGGCTGCCGAAATAAAGCGCCGACGCCATGCGAACTCTGGCCGTTGGGCCTCAGCTGGGGCCCCCAAGGGGGCCACGACACATGTGAGGGTCTAGCCGAAATCCCACCTCGATGCCGAACTGAGGCACCGACGCCATGCGAACCCTGGCATGTGGGCCTTAGGTGAGGCTGCCTATGGGGCCACGCAGCGCGTGTTCGGTGCACCGACACGAAAGCACCGACGCCACGCGAACCCACGCAGCGTGTGAGGGGTGTGCCGAAGTTGGTGCGGCGCCGCCGTGCAGACCGTGCCACGGGGGCTCTCGGTGGAGCTCCCTATTGGGCAACGACACGTGTGAGGAGTGTGCCGAAATTATACACCGACGCCATGCGGACTTTGGAATTTGAGCCTCAGCTGGAGCCCCCTCATGGGACAACGTCAGGTCTGAAGGGCGTGCCGACACGAGGCGCCGACGCCATGCGGACCCTGGCATCTGGGCCTCAGCCGGAGCCTCCTGATGGGGGCACGATGCGTGTGAGGGGTGTGCCGAAATGGCGAATCCACGCAATGCGGACCCTGGCGCTTGGGCCTTAACTGGGGCTCCCTATAGGGCCACGAAACGTATGAGTGGTGTGCGAGGATGAAGCACAGACGCCATACGGACACTGGCATGTGGGCCTTCGCTGCAGCTCCCCCTGGGGCCACGAAGCTTGCGAGTGGTGTGCCGAAATGAGGCACCGACGCCATGCGGACCCTGGAATTTCGACTTTAGCTGGAGCTCCGGTTGAGGCCAAGAAATGTGTAAGGTGTGCGCCGACCTGAGGCACCGATGCCATGCGGGGGTTGGAATTTGGGCCTTTGCTGGAGCCCCCTTTATGGGGCCACGAAGCGTGTGAGGGGTGTGCTCACATGTGAGGCATCGGCTCCATGCGGGCCCTGGCATTTAGGCCTTCGCGGGAGCCCCCTCAGGCGGCCACGAAACGTGTGAGGGGTGTGCCGACATGAGGCACCGACGCCATGCGGACCCTGGCTTTGGGGCCTTAGCTGGAGCCCCCTGTGGGACCACGAAACGTGTGAGGGGTGTGCCTACATGAGACACCGACGCCATGCGATGCGGACTCCTCCGCCTTCCCCTGGACCTCCTGCTCCTGCCGTTCACTCCGCTTCGGCTTCTGTGGCTGCTGTTCGTCCTCATCCTCATCCTCATCCTTCCTCATCCTTCCTCATCCTTCCTCATTCTCCTCCTCTCCTCCTGCCCATCCTCCTGCTCATCCGCCACCTCCTCCTCCAACGCACGCTGTTCCCTTATGCCCGATTGCGCATCATACAGTGGGATCCTCTCGACACGCGTCGGCGGAAAGAGAACAAGCAACGCAATGGCAAGGGATGGGTGGGAGCAGTCGGATGTCCGATGTGGCGCGAGCAAACCTACGGCAGGCGGTCCCCAGTATTCAAAGTTGGCGCGTCGGGGACCGACCGCGGTGAAATGCAAACCAGATCCAACGCAAACATGGACCATTGGGGAAGGGAGAATATGATGCGGCACGAGTGTCCGCTATTTGTTTCCGACGCCTGTAGCTTGCCTCTATCCTCCCTCCTCCGTCCCTCCGTCCATCCCTCCCCTTCCCTCATCCAGGGGAGCCGCTGCGCTCTCCCTTTCCCTCCTTTCTCCCTCCCTCCCTCCCTCCCTCCTCAACCGTCTGCGAGCACATCCTCGCTCATCACAGTGAAGTTCCTCTCGGCCAAGGGAGCGTCCCACGTCGCCGCTTCCAGCACGCGCCCGTTGAGGGGCAACGGTCGGGAGGGATGTGTACAGGGCGGGAAACACCGACCTGGACTCGGCGACACATCGCCGATTGATCGGCGATGGGCTCGCGAATCCGAGCGTTCCTGGGCAGGTCGGGGCTATCGGACCCCTATCGGCGATCAGTGGGCGATTTGGGGTCGATGCATCCCCCACCTACTGGGGAAATCAAAAAGGTACCGATGCTGCTGCAGCCGCCACTCCTTGAACCTCTCCCTGGGCGCGCTCTGCCTTCGAGGCGAATCCAGCGGTGGCGACGAGGGCCTCCCACGAGGCCCCCAAACGGGGACACCGAGAGAGGGGTAGTGGCATGGAGACAGGAGGGGAAGGCGACAGGAGGAAGGAGGAGGAAGGAAGAGGAGGGGGGAGGTGGAAGAGAAAGAGGAGGAGGAGGAGAGGGAGGAGGAGGAGGAGGAGGAGGAGGAGGAGAGGAGGAGGAGGAGGAAGAGGAGGAGGCGGGGAGGAGGAGGAGGAAGAGGAGGGGGAGGAGGGGGGGGTACGTTCTCCTCCTCCGACCTGTGCCCGCCCCAACTGCCGTTGCCCACAGACTCCACGGCGAGCCCCACGGCGCCCCGACCGCGCGCCGCCCCGTGGCCGCCCCCGGCGGCGGCGCGTGCGCGGGGCACCCGCCCGCGAGGGCACGCCGCCCACGCGCGCGCTCGCGGGGCACGGGCTCGCGCGCGCGCGCCTGCCTCCGGACGCGCGCCGGCGCGGCGCGGGGCGCTCTGGGGGCCGGCCTCCGTCCAGGAGGCAGGCGCCCGGCCGGGGCGATGGTTGTCTGCCGTTTTTTTCGGTTTGGGCTCTGGGCGAGCCAGAGACGCCCAAACAGCGCGACGGTGCTGGAGCGCTTTGAGCTCCGCTCTTTCCCAACCGTCCTGTGGTGTTGGGTCCTCGTTTGGGGGAGACAGCGCCCCGCGTTCCCTCCTCCTCCTTCCTCCCCCTCCTCCCTCCTCCTCCTCCTCCTCCTCCTCCTCCTCCTCCTCCTCCTCCTCCTCCTCCTCCTCCTCCTCCCTCCCCCCCTTCTCGCCTCTGCTCTTCGCATGTCTCTGTGTCGCCGCACCCCTCACGCGTTTCGTGGCCCCACAGGGAGCTCCACCGAAGGCCCGAGTGGCAGGGTTTGCATAGCGCCACCGCGCCAATTTCGGCACACCCCTCACACGCTTCGTGGCCCCATAGGGAGCTCCACCGAAGGCCCGAGTGGCAGGGTTCGCATGGCGCCACCGCGCCCATTTCGGGACACCTCTCACACGTTTCTTGGCCCCACAGGTAGCTCCACCGAAAGCCCCAGTGGCAGGGTTCGCATGGCGCCACCGCACCCATTTCGGCATGCCCCTCACACACTTCGTGGCCCCATAAGTTGCTCCATCGAAGGCCCGAGTGGCAGGGCTTGCATGGCGCCACCGCATCAATTTCGGCACACCCCTCACACGTTTCGTAGCCCCGTAAGGAGCTCCACCGCAGGGCAGGGTTCGCATGGCGCCACCACACTCATGTCGGCATACCCCTCACGCGTGTCGGGGCCCAACAGGGAGTCTCACCGAAGGCCCAAATGCCAGCGTTCGCATGCGACCACCGCACCCAATCCGGCACACCCCTCACACGCTTCGCGGCCCCACAGGGAGTTCCACCGAAGGCCCCAGTGGCAGGGTTCGCATGACGCCACCGCACGCCCCTCACAGGCGTGGCCCCATAGGGAGCTCCACCGAAGGCCCGAGTGCCAGGGTTCGCACGGCGCCACCGCACCCAATCGGACACACCCCTCACACGCTTCGTGGCCCCACAGGGAGCTCGACCGAATGCCACAGTAGCAGGGTTCGCATGGCGCCACCGCGCCAATTTCGGCACGCCCCTCACACGTTTCGTGGCCCCACAGAGAGCTCCACCGAAGGCCCGAGTGGCAGGGTTCGCATGGCGCCACCGCACCCAGGTAGCTCGACCGAGTGCCACAGTGGCAGTGTTCGCATGGCGCCACCGCGCCAATTTCGGCACGCCCCTCACACGTTTCGTGGCCCCACAGAGAGCTCCACCGAAGGCGCGGCTCACAACTGCGGTACCCACAATTGCATATGGTTGGGTCCTTGGCCGGGATAATGTTTGCTTGGTCAGGCCCGTCGCTGTGGATCATCATGTTGTGTGTTTGTTGCGTTCTGGTCGAAGGCTGTTCCCTGTCTTCCCTGCTGTCTTCGCTCCCGCTGTTTCGTTTCTGCCGCCGTTCTCCATCTCAGCGCTAAGAAAGCTAAAACAACGCCCCCTAATACTGGTCTAACACTGGCCCGAAACAGGCCTGGATGCCCGATGGCCCCAGGAGGGAGAATCGGCCATCGGGCCCGCTAGCAGTGGTGGTCACGGCCACGTTAAGCAATGCAACCATATGCGCCAAACAAACGCAACTGAAAACGCCAAACCCATGCATCGTTTATTTAGCGGGATTAGTTCCCAACCATCCTGTGGTGTTGGGTCCTCGTTTTGAAATGACGGTCCCGCGTCTCCTCTCCTCTCCTCTCCTCTCCTCTCCTCTCCTCTCCTCTCCTCTCCTCTCCTCTCCTCTCCTCTCCTCTCCTCCTCCTCCACATCCTCCTCCCGCCGCCCGCCCCCCCCCCCTCACTTTGGCACACCCCTCACACGTTGAGTGGCCCCACAGGGAGCCCCATCGAAGGCCCAAATGCCAGCGTTCGTATGCGGCCACTGCACCGATTTGGGCACACCCCTCACACGTTGAGTGGCCCCACGGGGAGCCGCACCGAAGGCCCAAATGCCAGCGTTCGTATAGAGCGACGGTGTTCACAACTGCATATGGTTGGGTCCTTCGCCAGGCAAACTTTCTGCTTGGACCTGACAACGCTTGAACAACATATTTCCAACACGCCGACTTAAGTATGATGTATCAAAACAAAGAACGCCCTGGGCATACCTCCTCCTCCTCCTCGTCCTCCTCCTCCTCCTCCTCCTCCTCATCATCATCATCATCATCATCATCATCATCCTCATCATCATCATCTTCTTCATCATCATCATCATCATCATCATCCTCATCATCAGCATCATCAGCATCATCATCATCATCATCATCATCATCATCATCATCATCATCATCATCATCATCATCATCATCATCATCATCATCATCATCCCCCTCCTCCCCCTCCAACCCCTATCTCATCCTCCCATCTCCTCCTCCCCCTCCTCCTCCTCATTACTATTCTCCTCCTCCTTCTCCTTTTCCTCCTCCTCCTCCTCCTCCTCCTCCTCCTCCTCCTCCTCCTCCTCAATATTCGCATCCTCCTCCTCCTCCTCGCCGTACGCCCCGCGGAGCTCCATCTGCTGGTCCATGCGGCTAACGAACATGGAGTGCTGGGGCCCGGGCGCCACGCCCTGGCAGCCCGGGCCGCCGAGGCCGGCGGGGGCGGGGGCGGCGAGCCCGCCCGGCCCGTGGAGAGCACACCAGGCGGTCCGAGGAGGACCGGGCAGGGGAGGAGCGAGGAGGAGCGAGGAGGAGCGAGGAGGAGGAGCGAGGAGGAGCGAGGAGGAGGAGGCTTGCTACTGCGCCAGGTCCGCACAACGTCAGAAAGGAGGAGGAGGAGGAGGAGGACGAGGAGGAGGAGGGGCAGGAGGAGGAGGACGAGGAGGAGCGGGGATCGAGGAGGAGCGAGGCAAGAGGAGCGAGGAAATGGAGGAGGAGGAGTGCGGGGGCGGGGGGCGCAGGAGAAGGAGCAGCGGGAGCACGAGGCGGGCAAGGGAGGGGGGGAGCGAGAAGAGGGACGGTGGGGGGATGGGGCAGGGACGGGGGGGGGGCGCTCGCCCGGGGGCTCGAGGAGGAGCACCGTCCACTACGAAGGCCAGGCGCCGCCGACGGCCGTCGGTGGACGCTGGCCGCTGACCGAAGGCGGCGCCGTCGTCTCGCTTGGCCCGAGGCGTGGTCGTCCCCAGCCTGGCACCGGCTCTCGCGGAGGGGTCAAGCTCTGGGGCAACTCGGGGCACGGGAGGGGAGCCGACCACCGCCCCTCCACTCGGCCAGGCGCGGGGCGGGGAGTGCCCCTGGCTCTGTCTTGCGCGCTGGCCGACGCTGCCGGCCCGGCCAAGGATGCCGAAGAAGTCGCGGAGGATGACAGTACAAGAGGCGGCACGGGATCATGCTGCGACCGTAGGATAGAGACCTCCTAGATGGGGTCGGAGTAGCTGAGAGTAGCTGGGGTCGGAGGATTGCGCCGCATCGCCGATGCATCGACGATGCATCGTCGATGCATCGCCGACGTCGCCGATGCGTCAACGAGGCCGGCGCGGAGAAAAGCGGGCGCCGCATCGCCGATGCATCGGCGATGCGGCGCGATCCTCCGACCCCATATGCTCCGAACCCATCTAGGAGGCCTAGATAGGAGAGAGGAGGATCGGCACCAGCGTCAGCATCGCGTGCACAGAAAACGCCATGCACCCGCCCATGCCGGCTTCGCGTCGCAGCTGCACGCAGGCGCAGCGCGGCACCGCGCTTGGCCAAGGCCACCCTGGGCCCTGGCGCCGGTGTGCGGCAGATTCCTGTCGTGTCGAAGTCGGCATTGGTTTTTATCACCGGACCTCGCGATCAGAAAAACCGAAGCCAGTCGGTACGGCACGGACCTGCCGAAGGTGAAGGGGCCCCAGGACACACAAATAAATACACACAAATAAAATAATTCCCCATATTTTCCCATATTTTCTGGCTTTTTGTCTTCGCCCCCACTTCCCATATTTTCCCATATTTTCCTGGGAATCGACGATTAATTGTGTCTGTGTGTTTCTTTCCCTCCTGAGAAGGGTCCCTCGCGCGCTGGCGTGCGCGGTGGCGTGGGACGCTCGCGGAGTGCGGTGCCGATGGCGGCGGCGTGCGCGCCTTGGTTTGTCCCCCCTCCCCCATCCCCCCCTCCGCCTCTGGACGATCGCGGTTTCCCAACAGCGCAGATCGCAAATCATTTGATATCGGCCGGTTCTGCGGCGTTCGAGCCTGAATGCCCGCTCTGGTGTCGCCGCCGCGTCGACGCTGCACAAACCTACCGCAAGAGGATCGGCAGCAGAACGAAGAGGTCCAGGAGGGTGAGAGAAGTGGGGCGGCAGGGGTACGCCGGAGAGGGGAAAGTGAAGCTGGATGGGGAAGGAGCAGGGGGACGAGGAGGGGGAGGGAAACATTTGGAAGGGGATTTTGATCTACGATCAGTCTGTCAAGCATATGCCATCAGCCCTCTGGGCTGAGGTGGTCTGAGGTGGTTCCTCTTCCAACCCCTCCTCCTCTTTCGAAGATTGCTTTATCACTGCCCCCTGTAAGCAATCAACCCCTCCCCCATCCGACTGGCCACCGACCAGGAACAATGCCCCCCCATACAGTCGGCCAGTATCATAAGGATACGCCAGAAGGATGCCAGGGCCTTGGACGCCAATTTCGAAGCTTCTCGAGCGGGGTGCGGCCAACGAAAGTGGCCAGGGATGGACGGAGAAGGCAAGGCTGCAAGGGTACCCGTAGAAAAATTGCCCATCCTTACTATGCGGGTGGACTGACCTTTCTGCCGAAAGACGATACGAAATGGCCTTCGCGGCAAAGTCGAGATCATGCTCGAGCGCCCCGCGATATCACTGTGCCTTGCTTTTTTGAACAGGGACGGACGGCGGAGGGGCCATGGTATTACCCGCTGCGCACAGGCCCACCCTTCCTTTCCCACGGGCGCGCATGCCATGCGTAATGCTGGCAGCCTCGCTGTCAGTCTGCTTTGGTTTCTGACAGGGGTGGTGGTGGGGGGTCGACACACGGTCAACCCGCATAGTAAGGATGGGCAACCTTCCCAAAGGTACCCTTGAACCCTTGCCCCGTCGGCCCATCCTTAGCGTCTTTCGCTGGCCAACCCCGCTCGAAAACCGGCACCATGGACCTCCGAGGCCCCTTGCATCCTTACCGCGCATCCTTCTGATACGGGCTGGCCGTGCTGCCCGATGTGTGCCGCGGCTCTCGCGTTGGCGCACGTGGCGCGCGCGGCGCAGCTGGCGCGCCAGGCACGCCTGGGCCCGCGGGGGCACCTGGTGCGCCCAGCGCACACGGTGCGCGCGGCGCACCTGCCCGGCGCGAGCGGCGCACCTCGCAGGCGTCGTGCACCCGGCTGGCGCCCGCATCGGTGTCCGATGGTCGTCGATGCTGGCCCCTCGCCCATGCTGAGACTCCGGTGCTGCTTCTATATAGTGTGGGGGCGCGTGGGAGTCAGCGAGGAAGATTGCGGCTTCCCGGCTGGGAACTTGACCCCCCCCCCCTCCCCGCTCCCCCTGGGTCTTGACCGGGGCGGGGGGGGGGGGACGCGACCAGTTAGAGCGCCGAGGATGGCCAAAGATGGCTCCAAGATGGCCCGAGAATGCCCAAGGTGACTTCCAAGATGGACCAATATGGTGCAAGATCTCCCGATAGGGCTTCCAGCATGCTCCAAGAGGCCCCAAGCCAGCTCCAAGACGACTCCAAGAGCCCACGGAGCCTTTCCAAAACCTAAAGAAAATCAATGATAGGGGGCAAACAAACCTACCGCGCTTTTGACCACCCTCGCTTCCAAGAGATACCAAGCGATGCCAAACTACGGCCTGTACTGGTCAGGCCGCTTGACGAGGAGGCGCGTGGTATGACGTGGTTTTGCCTGGAAGCGAAAGCGGGGTAGGTAATTCACGCTCTGAAATGATGTGTGCATAATCGCCCTTTTGTTTCCGATGGTTCCGAGCTGGCCCAAGGGAGCCCCATGAGGGGGCCAAGATGGCTCCGAGACGGCCCCGACAGGGCCCCACAAATGCGATTTGTGGGGCTCAAGAGGGGCGGTGGGCTAATTTCGACCCCCCTTCGCTCAAAGCCAAAACCATTGAAACGAACGCGGTTCGGCGGCGAGCGAGGGGAGAAGTGAGAAAGAGAAAGCCTTCTCAGAAGGCTCGGAAGTCCCCCGGCCTTCTGAAAAGTTTTCTGGACCTTCTCCGAAGACACAGAAACCGTCTCCTTACCCGAGCCTTCCCCGAGCCCCGCCCCAAGCCTTCCCCGAGCCCCGCCGCCTTCTGAGAAGGCCTTCTCCTCCTCGCTTACCCCCCTCGCTCGCCGCCGAGTGGTTGTCCAAAGATATTGGCATCTCGGGTGCGCCCGTTGTTCTTCGAGAAGCGCTGCTCCTCAGAAGCTTGACCCGCCAGGAGGGACATCGCAGCGCTGCTGACAGTCAGAAGGGCGGTGCAGGCGGGAGCAGCGAAGAGGAGGAGGAGGAGGAGGAGGAGGAGGAGGAGGAGGAGGAGGAGGAGGAGGAGGAGGATTAGGTGGAAGAGGAGGAGGAGGTGGAAGAGGAGGAGGAAGAGGAGGAGGAGGAGGAGGAGGTGGAGGAGGAGGAGGACGGGGAGGACGGGGAGGAGGAGGAGGAGGAGGAGGAGGAGGAGGCCCAAGGAAAGGAGGAGGGAGGAGCAGGCTCAGAGGGAGAGGAGAAGAGGAAGGAAGGGAGGGGCGAGCCAGCACGCGTCCAGGTGAACAGCTGGGACGCGGCTGAGTGGGGACAGCAGAGGGGCAAACCGAGAAGCCGGCCCCTCCGCAGCACGAGACCGCAGCGGCAGCCGAGAAGAAGCGCGGGCACCTCACGAGAGCACAGTGCCACCACGCCCCCGGCGCAGGCAAGACCTGTGGGCCGGCAACAGGCGCGGACACCTCCCGAGGGAAGAGTGCCGCTAGGCCCCATACGCGCAAACGCGGCGGAGGACCGGGCGGACGTCAGCCCCCCGGCCCAGGCTGGACCGCAGGGGCGGGCCAGCCGACACGGGGCAGGCGCGGGCACCTCCCGTGGGCACAGTGCCGCCACGGCCTGTGCACGTGGAGGGGCCGGGCCGACGGCCGAGCGAGGCTCCGCCCACCCGAGACAAGAGCGAGCCAGGAGCCAGCCCCAAGCAGGAGAGGTGGTGTGAGGGCAATTTCGCGGCCGACGACGGCGGAAACTCCCCCCAAATAACTCCTTCTCCGTCACCAAATGCCTCCCCGCGGGAGCGCTGCGCCCACCCAACCTTCGCGCCCGCGGGTGCACGCTGGGCTCGCCGCACGTGCTGCGCGTGAGCACCGTCGCCCGGTGATGGTTGCTCCTCGACGGCGAAGGGCGCCCCCGTCCTGGAGTCATTCTTGCTCCAGGTCGCCCAGACTACGGCGCAAGCGATTCTCGCATCGCCACTACTCGTCGTCACGAAAACTGTTTGCGGGCGACGTCTCAGTCGCCTCTCAATGTCCTCCACGGTCGTCCCCATGGTCCACCCTCGCTCCATGCTGTGCCCTCTGATGATGGCCGCGATCAGTTCCTTGGTGTCCTGCTCCGCATACGCACTGAAAGGTTTCGAAGAGATCTGGCATTCGGGGTTCATATCAGGGC